TAAAAGAGTAACGAGAAAACAATAACTTTACTATCCGAAAATTTAAAGTAGCCTACAATAAACTATGTAGTCATAAATCACAGGATGTTTTCATAATAACTATAAGTCAATGTAAAAAGTTACCCAACAATATCCTTGCGTTTCACCAATGACTGTTAAGCCATTTCCGTTTGCGACTATTGACTGTATCTAAATTACGGATGTCAGATATACTGATTTGAGTAGAACAAAGCTGATTTTTACTCACTATATTGAAATTTCCAAAAGTAAATTGAGAAATGAACTCGCAGACTAGTCAAATTTCATTTATCAAATAGTTTATTTCAGTCCATTCGTTTACGAGTTGCATAGGACGCTTTGTTTCGTACGCGACCTGCAAAAGAACACTAGATAGGTCATAGGATAGCATGGAACACAACAAAGCAAAATAAGCAACTTGAGTTGAAATCACTTGAGAAATACCCGACCTGACTAATATTGCTGCAAGTGGAGAAGTGATACTACAATAAACTATGATACTATTGTTAATGGGCCATTGGTAGACCCAAAGGACATACTCGCTAAAGGTTAGACTTTTGGGAAATTTTAGTAAAGCTTCAAAATTCAGTGTTCACACTTATTATAATTTATGCGACTTTATTTTTATTTACTGACAGCTTGGAGTTATTGAAAGGCAAATGCAAATTATAGCGCCAGCAGGGCGTTCTTTTGCAGGCGGAGTACAAAAGAAAACACATATACTAACACAAAATTAACCGGGCATATTATGCATCCCCAAAATGGGATATGCTAGTGTTTGAAAAATTTTACTGCATGAACTAAATTTTGACCACTTTTCTATGTAAGGATCGAATGAATAACATCTGATTATATATCTTGATCCGCCTGTAATGTATCTGGAAAATTACTTCTTAGCTTGTTGGACTATTTTCATACAAGAGGTGTTGTTCACCTCTTCGTTTATCTGGAAGTTCACTTTTAATCTGCAAACTCAGTCCTCAGTAGCACTTATTGGTGAGCTTAGGGTTGCACTCCAGATTCATTCTCATCGTGTGTGTTTTTAGTCTTTAGAATTGAACTGGCAGATGGTTAGTGGAATGTAACAATATCATCGCCATGTGTAAGGTACGTGCAAAGTATTAATTTAGGGGTCCTTCTCGTTTCTAACCGTGCTTTTGGCGTTGTTTAGCGTTAGGCGCATCGAGTGTATTTGAACAATTCACGATACCTTTTATGCGGGCTTATTTATCTCATGATGACAGGGGCATATTATGGAGTCTTTCTTTTTATGATTTGAGGAGAGCTTTCATCTGAAAACTGATAAATCACTGAATCATCCTCGGTTTATGATGGGGTGTTTTCTGCACTTCTGTTCAGCAGATTTTCGGCGTCTAAAAATCCTGTAACTGGATAACACACGGCTTTCCTGCCATTTGGTTGTAACATGCAAAATTAGGGCGACTTACAGAAGTTTTAAAAACCTTTCTGGCCGCCAATGCGGTCTTGGCCACCGTCTGGGCCGCTTCCAGAGCTTTGACCACGACCGTTTGCGCTCAATGTTGTCGTAAGTGACCCATTTTTCACCACTACTCACAATCCGCTTCAGAAACGGGTCGATTTTGTTGCGCTTCGCCGGGGGAAATTAGGTCCAGCATGTTTTTTTGCGTTAGTTCGTGTGTCACCCAAAAATCGCGCTTCTTTTTGAATCCAACGTTATATAAATGGTTCCAAATGGGTTTCTGGCTTATCTTTCGTTTCTCAGCAATTAAATAAGTACTCACGTGACGATCTGTTTCCACTATTCCCATGATCTTATCGCAATTTTCGACGACAGGACTCCCGACGCATGGTGCATCCTTGACATCGAAATTGCCAGAACGCAACCCAGCAAATCACTTTTGTGCTACATGTTCGTTTACAGTATCGGTCCCATAGACAAAATTTATTTTTTTATCCGCTTTGGCTGCTTGTTCGCTTTGATCGAAGAAAAATTGTAAAATATAGAAATTTTCCCTTTGCTGGTGTCCATTTTTGACGACCGCTCACAACATACTGAGTCAATCAAGCGAAAAACTGTCAAAGATAAACTTTTAGCGCGAATAAACACAAGCTTTGCAATATGTCTTAAGTCATATTTCTATAGTCTTAAAAAATACGACGCTTGTGAGCCCCCCTTAATCGTTGTATGTCCTATTTTGTAACTTTTCTTCAGCCACTGGAGTGCCACTTATGTATGCATCGGATTGAAATGACTGCATTGAAATCATTTGAAATCACATAAACAACGAAATCAACAAAAAGGAAATTATGGAACTGTCTCAGACCATACAAATATTTTTTTGGAAGCTTGTAAAAAAATTTTTGGATGGTAGAAGTTAAAGCTGCTATTTCGGAAAACACCACGTTTCCTCATCAGACTTCTATTTCCAGACCACTTTGTTCGAATTGGATTCGATCTTGGGATGTCCACATGTGTGTCGTTTTCCAAAACCCAAAAACAATTCTTCAGAATAATGACCTGAAAAAGCAAAAAAAAAGATACTTTACTTGAATATCGTAGATTCCTTTCGAGAAAATAATGAAATTTATTTATTTTAGGTACAAAAAGTAAATAGATGCAGCTTATAGAGTAGCACACTCAAAAAACTTACCTCGCTTTGTTGTATTTGTCATATAAATGAGTGTCATAAAAAATAAGAAAATATGACGATATGAAACAATGTGAATACCCTAAATATTTTTTTCCAGTTGTAAATACATTCAGTTGCTATTTGTCGCATAAAAAATATTTTTTTTAATCAAATCAGAGAGTGTAAGATTTATCAATGAAATTAATTCGGCTAAAATCGCGCAAGCAGTGTCTATAAAAGCCAAACATGAATGAACTGAATCAACCATCATCTGTATGACATACGAGGTGTGATCAAAAAGTATCACGAATTTTGAATTCTCGCGAGTTACTTATAATCGAATTTTGATTTTTGACGTTATGTTGTTACTCATGTCTGTCACTTATGCCGACAAGCTCGGCCATTTTGAATTTTCACTTAATTGTTGACAGCTGCTTTGCTTGCACGTGTTTTGGATGGTCTTCAATTTTTACCTATTCAAAAAAATAGATCAAATAACCTGTATCAAATTTTGTGTGAAAAACGAAATTAAGTGCGCGGATGCATTCCGAATGTTGACTGTGGCATACGGAAACATGGACCGAAGCAATATTTATCGGTGGTACAAAATGTTCTCAAATGGCCGAGAAGATTTGAACGACGAAGAGCGTGCCGGACGCCCGAGCACTTCAACAACAGACGAATAAATTAATTGAATCATGAGTTCTTGCCACAGGGTAAAACGGTCAATAAGGGTCTGGCCCCCTGTGATTTTTTCTTGTTCTCTAAACTGAAGAGGCCCATGAAAGGATGACGTTACGCTACGATTGACGAGATAAAGACGACATCGAAGGAGGAGCTGAACAAGATTAAAAAAAAATGATTTTTTGATGTGCTTCGAAGATTGGAAAAACCGTTGGCACAATAAATAAATAATTTTTGAAAAAAAACACAAAATTCGCGATATTTTTTGAGCACACCTCGTATATACATGTACACGTCTCTTGGAAATACTGTGAGTTATTACACACAACCATTAGCATTTGCAAGCAGGCATATATTACTTACGCTTTATATACATACATGCGATGCTGCGACAGCCTCCCGCTGAGATTACTTAATATATAATTTCCACTTAATTTATTTATATATTCCTTATTTCATACCCTTTACAAGAGGAATACGTACATTTTGTATTCTCGCATATTTAGAAAGCAACAGTAAAAAAGTTTAATAGCCGCTTCGAAGTTTCAGTTCTACGCCAATATGAGTTCTGTAAAATATACTCGTATATGTAAAGTAACCAAATCAGAAATTTATATGTAAGTATACAAATACATACATATATGTATATGTATATGTCTATCATGCCGTCATTAATCGAAATTACCTATTCGATTATCTTAAAATTTTCGGAATAGATTCATGAAACCCGACCGGATATAATATTTTTTTATTTTTGTCATTTGTCCACAAATAAAAAATATATTTGCTTCGCTAAAGTATTACGGCTAAATGGAAGACATTTGTAAAATATGTTTTTTTATTAGTAATAGAGGTGGCAATATAGGCCAATAGAAACTTAATTATTGCTCAATGAATTAATTCAATTAAAATATTTTTTTAGTTGGGGTATTACGGGAAAGGCTGCCACCTATTTAAAAAAGACATATTAATACAATTCTAACCGAGTCAGTAGCAGAACAATAATGTAATCCTTTTCGAAATAGGGTTGGAAACATGGTGGAAGCTTACCGGAAAGAAAACTCGGAAATAATATTCGAACATTCCAATTTATTCGGGATTAGTAAGCGTCATTTTTTTTTTTAATTCTTAAACGTTAACAAAATCACAATGCAAATGAAGCGATGCTAAAATCCAAATATTTTAAGTTTTATAAATATAAATGAAACTAAGACTATTTATTGTATATTCCTCTCCAATTTTGGGTGTTGGCCTTGATGTTTTACCAATAAAAGGAGCTCAGTTTATTTAAGCAGCTTTCGAACTACCAACGAATTTTTTATAGATTTTTTCGATGTTGGTCAAAATGCAAACGTTCATTAGAAATCGAATGCAGCTTTAACACTTTTCGATTGTGAGTAGCGATGCAAGCGAAGTACTCTTTCGGCCCCGTCCCAAATTTTGCTAAATATTATTGTTCATGTATTCGGAAACCTTCGCTACATCACTTCGATTCGTCTCAAAATTGACTGTAATCTTCAGTTGATTTGTTTTGGTTGCTTTTTTTGCACTAAAAATAATTGACGAAATAACAACTTGTCTTTTCTTGCTAAAAAAAAGTAAAATACACATTCAGAGTCATTAAGGTTTGTTGTTAATCTAAATGCCATTATTTGGGTCAACTTTTCAATGACTCTAATTTCTAAAAATAGTATTTTGGTAGACAAATAAAAAATATCTTGATTTAAATTATACTTTTTTATAACTTTTTACAATAACTCTTTATGTTCAGATACAAGCCCTTCACAAGTATGTGCGCACGTTTGTACTAAAGCTTATTCGTAAAATATATGTAATTTTACTTGCTATCTTTGTTTCGAGGTGGTTTCTCTTGCGGTGTCCAACCCAACACGAATGCCGCAGTGTAAAACAAATTCCGATTCCCAAACGGCGAAAGATTGAAACAGAACAGCCGCAACTGAAGTGGTAACAGAGGCACTGCCGCATAGCCTTTCATTTACCGTGGCAACATGCAACACCGGACATTGAAGATGACGACCACAAGAGAAAGGTAAACAAGGCACATATGGTGGGCCACTAAAGTCAAAGGCGATGTTGGCAGCAAGGCTTACCGGATTGCAACTCACGATTTGGATAAAAGGTTCTGAAGTTGAAATAAAAGAAAACGAAACTACAACCACCACTAACACCGCTCCACATAGAACAAAAACAACAGTTACGGTAACGTTACGAAATATCAGTGGCAGCTGCAGCCTTTCGTGGCATTTGTGGCTGCCTTAAGCAATATTCCCACTGCCCTTTTAGCACCATCACCAGCAGTTCAGAGTGAACCCTCAACCCGACAGGGCGACATGTGGCGTGAGTTTCGGAGCGCCAAATGAGGAGTATGAACATGATGTGTGGCGTGTGGCGTGTGGCGTGTGGCATACGGCAGTCAGTGCAATTTTACATCGCTTACAGTTACACGTGTGATTATTTTATGAGATTTATCTGCAGAAATGGCCACAACGATTCAACGAGGTAGTAGCGTGTCATAGCCGACGCTGCCTATGTGGTTTGCCACAATGCGTGGATGGATTCTCCATTTTTCTTTTGCGGTTTCGTTAGTGTAATGCAATGGTCTGTCGGCCTGAGTATTATAGCTGAGGCATCTGCATTCCCCAGCCATTGTCCTTCTGAATTTTGTGGCCACAAAGGCTCAAAGCCGCGCATAGAACAGGCAAGTTGCCGTTGCAGCACGTTGAGTTATCGTTACGTAAAAATTCCAAACGAGCTGTTGAAGAGACGCACTGATGCATGTGCTATGCACCATAAGGCACGTCGCTCGTGGCAAGCGTTTAAAAAATGCATTCCACAAACAATAAGGTCAAGCATACGTAGCGTGTCCAAGGTGCTTATCGTCAACAATTGCCTTACAATTCACAATGGCGCGCATCTGACGACTACAACAACAATAAGAAGGTATAACAAACATACAAAACAAAGCTTCGATATTCAACGCGCTTCAATTCGTGTTAAATGGCACACATGCTCGAATGTGAGCGAGGTTGTTGGTGTGTGTCCTTGCAGCTCTGTTTCGTTACAGGTCACACAGGAACGCACTTAAGGTGCCAGGCGATAACATACAAGTGTGCTGCAGCTTAATGGACATTTACTACAGTCAACCACTAAATTGTTCAATTACATTTTAAGTAGGTTTGCCGGCGTTAGCACGACATAATAAATTCAAAACACAATCTAAATGGTACCGTCTAAATGTACGTTTTTTTCACTCAATTCTTCAACAAGTAAATATTAAGAAATTATCAGATGTACAGGGTGTATAAATAGAGTTCTTCAAACCTCTTTCATGCATTTGTGGACACACAAAGTCATTCCCCACACGTTTAACTCCTGAGATCTGCGATGATACGACCCATTTGGATTATCGGCAACACTCTCTCGGAGCGTTTCGGACGCGGTCGAATAGGACGCTGGCGAGTTGTTACAGAGCCATACTCGAAGAAGTTTTTCATCAAACTACGTATTGTGCTGCCTAAAGGTATTGAATGTCTCCCAGCCCTTACTGTTTTCACAGCTGAACGGGTGTTTTAAATGTAAAGCGTCTCGAAGTCAAAGCGTTCTTTCGGTGGCGTTTCAGAATCATGCACACTTTTCCGAATCGGCAGAAAGCCAACAGATTTATTCAATGTTAAAATACCGAAGGTCTAGATAGCGTAGTGGTCTGACTAATGTATACTGATTTGTAACGTATTTGAAAAATAGTTCTCAAGACGGGAAACTCTTTCCAGAAGACTTTCAACCGATTTCAAAATTTTGTATAATGAAATGTTTCCTAAAATATAAAATCGTATATTTACTTTATGGCAAATTTTTACAACGAATTTGTGGTATATGTATGTTTATGTTGTTGATAAAACCAAGGGTTAGACTGCTTATTACCATACGGAGAGTAGGGAATGTCGCCTCACTGAGTGTATTTCTGGCCTAGAAGAACATCTAGATGTATACCACAAATTAAAGGAGGTTATAAAGTACTAATTATTATGTAAAGTGCGAAATATTAAATTAAATATTTCTGGGAAATGTGAATTCATCGTCGTAAGAAAATTATAAAATCTGTTTAACAAATTTCGCTTAAATATCTCACAAACTGAGAACCTCTAAAAAATACATGGCTATTATTTGTTCAACATAGCTTTTAATTCTGATCACATACGTATAAATTTCAATGCTCTTTATACTCCTTGCTTAGGACTTTACATACTTCAGCAAAGATTTGGGTAAAAAAAATAATCATTTGATGCTTCTCATGCAGTTTTTGGGTGGCCTGCAAGGTGTTTCTGACTTCTTAATCTCACTTCTCGGAAGGGAAATTATTATATATGGTAATGTAATATCCTAATTTCAAACAAATCTAACCTGGTACCTGGTTAACTACCGGAAAAGGACTCAGTAGATGTTCAACTAGACTTCACGGAATAAATGTAATCAAGTCCTGTAATAACTTTTTCGAATGGATCAGTTTCAGTTCCGCTTGCAGAAAGAAAAAGTAATTTACTATGTGATAAATTTCAAGTAGGTCATACCATAAAAACCATTTTTCTGTTGGACTATATCTCACTGGAAAACTTCTTCCTCAAAATCTACTCCCAGGAACAACAAACAGCTGAAAAAATGTGAGCCAAATTGACCCAGCCATTCTCAGTTGATGAATCACTTTGTATTTTTTTCAAATATTTTTATATACTTATTTACAATAATGGAGCTTCTCTTTCTATTTGTGGTATGCGTCTTGATGCCTTTCGAACAAATTTAAGAACCGTCATTATTAAGCCACCTCCGAAAGGCTGATGGATTTTTTTGAAGAGTTTTTATTTGATGTCAGAAATATACTTGAAACAGTTGTCATCCCCAAAGAGAAAAATTAGTTAGCCAATATTCGCTCGAAAAATAAATTCGAGAGCGGTCGTAGATTCCCAAAGTGACATTTATTTGGTGAGCTGGTTTCAAAAAAAATCGTATTTCAGCGCTCAGCTCTTTGATATATGTACATATATTAACAACTGTTAAAAATGAAAAACTGAATTTCGTTTAATGAAAAATATAAAAAAAAATAATAAAATATTTGTTAAATATTTTTTGTTAAGCGATTAGTTCAAGTAATTTAGATATTTTATAATTAATTAATCAGCTAAGCCTAATTAATTAATAAAATATCTAAAATATTTTCTATTTATATGGATATTTTTAAAATATTTAAATGTTCCTAAAATATGCATTATTTTGGCAAGCACTGTAAATATATTCCGTTATACTGTAGTTGTTGCAAGTGTTGGTGCTATTTTGTACAGAATGCACTACAAGTGTACAAAAGTTTATTAGACCACAAGTGTGAAGTATGCCACACGTTAATTTGTCTTGCTGCTTACACTGAATGGCGTAGCAAGCACTTCATGTGCCGTCGCCCGTCGCGACACATAACGTTCGCAGCGGTATCTTTAAATATCGATGATTTGTTAGACAAAGATAACCTGCCACGCAGCTGAGCCTCGGCGGCACCGTTTCGAACAATCAACAGTCAGGAGTCAACTGCCAAGAGCCATTTGCCATTTACCATTTACCATTCAGCAGAAGCTATCGCTGTTCGAGATTTGTTTTTGTGTATGTGTGGCAATGTGTGTCCGAAAAACGTTAGCTGATGTCACTTCAGACGTGTTGCACCACCAACAACAACTGTGTCAGTTTCATTGCATTGTACTATTTGTTTTCCAATGATTGGATGCACGCCCAGTAATGGTTGCCAATTGTTTACCTCTATCACTTTCTCACCACACTTCCCCCCAACGATAGGCGCTACGCATTTTCTGACTCTTTCATTTCTTAGGTGGCGCATAACAGGTGATAGGTTGAAATTTAATATGCATAAAACCTCAAAAGGGAGATGTTGTTGTAAAACCATTGATAACGTTACATGAATGAAACCTGGACTTTTGTCACAATAGCCTCAGCCATAGAATGGGACTTTTCCGTTTTTGGCTTTAGCCGAATTGTCAATATATTTTGTTTCTTTTTGCTTGTTTCAGTGTATGCCTTTTGGGCTTCTTTCGTTGAGTTGACGTAACGTCTGCACTGTCACTGCATTGTTGCACTTTCCGCCTAGTGTATTTCGCAATGAATGAGAATACTGGCTTGTACAAACATACATACTCGTACGTATTTCCATGTGCAAGACGCGCTGTTGTCTATATGCGTGTGCATGTGCTGTGTGCAGGATACATTCCCAAGAGGCTTTTCAATTTTACTGCAACATAAATTAAATTACCTTTTTCGTTGGCGCATCGCATCTCCTTCAATGACGTCACATATTTATACTTTTCAACATTTTTTCGACGACATATGTACGTGTATGTAACGTCCCTGCAGTGAAGAGGTAAACTAGTGTTTGAGAGATTTAAGGTTCTTCGTAATATTTGCATTGTAAAACATTTTATTTTAAACATGCTTTATGACGTCCCTTGTCAATATTGGTCAAAAACTATCGCTACCAGGCTCGTACTCGAATATATTTATATATAGTGTATATATAGTATATATATAGTATATTATATATACAAAAATATATGTTCGTTTTGCGAACTGGCATTTACGGTACAGATTTATGAACTAGAATTTTACCAGTTCGATAGTAATGAATAGTTGGTCAATCAGCCACAGATTTCCCAGCAGGGCTATGCCCATATACTTATGATTATCTATCTGTATATATACGAGTATGTAAATACAGATAAACATAGTTACGAGCCAAGCTTTCACATGATACAGCCAAATGTTTTCTTATGCTTCTTCTATACTTCTATGGTATGTATTCTCTGATTTCTGACAGCAATGGATGCAAGAGGCAAGAAAGAATACAGGTTCAATGGTAATTGGGGCGGTGTGCGAGTACAGAAGCATTCGTCCGTAGTACTATACGGTAATGCCTGAGAAATATTCAATTTACACACACAATACCAACGCATTACTGCATAGGCTGTAGTACTTGGGTACTCGCCACACTTGTAGAACTCGCATGTTCTGGCCGACCATTACGGAGCCCGCACTGGCAAGCTCTAAAGGTATGTTAAAATGTACATAAAAGTAAACAAGCAAATAGAGAAAACATTTCCCAAATTGCTGCATCATGTGTTTGCAGTACGTAAAAGGTAACGGGTTTTTCTTTGGTAACAAATTTTTGCATTACCGTGGTTACACTACATTCATGAGTACATATATGCACATACGAGTCCGTCCATATTTACTTTTTTTATAGAGATTGGTAACTACTGCTGCTTTTGTTAGTGTTATTATTATTACGTATACGCAGTGGTGCACCGAAATTGAGGTTCCTAAATGTTCTGCACCTAATGTGGATGTCCGTTACTCTGCCAATGATATTTAATGAAATCAGATATTTGATGTCATTGTTGGGCTTCCAACTATTTTTCTTCTTATTTTATACAGTTACACAAGTGCGCGAATCTGCTTTGTATGAAGCCAGATTAAATGCGTAGGAAAGGCATTTCCTAAATACTTAACTTTAATTGAAAACTTTTTAGACTTTTTTGAAGATTCCATTATTATTTGGAAGATGAAGGAACTATTGGGCTTCGAGTGATGAAAATATAATTATTTAAATAATTTGCTGATTGATTGATTGATTATTATTATTATTACTAAATGCATCTTTTTATTTAGAGGCAGTCCTAGAACAGTTAGCTGGACAAAAAATTTAGTTGAAATTTCTTTCTGAAATGACTGCACCTGATCAGGCTTTGAATGCTCAGCTTCACGCTGTGTGTGTGAGTGTAATATTTAGCTGCCATAGGATACAACTAAAAGGTATGGCACCATAATTAAACTAGCACTTTCAAAAACCATATCAAAAATATGTGAAGTAAATTAATTAACCTTAATTTTTATGATTAAGTAATAAATGCAGTAGTGTCAAGAACAATACACACAGGCTATTCGTTCAATAAAAACTTATAACAAATATTAATACCTTGGCCGCAAAAATAATTATGAATTTATATATTTGGGCTGAGCCCGAAACTTAATCCTACCTATACATTTTCAGTCAGTTAACGCCTGAGAGTATAGAGGATTTTAAAGCAACTCACTAACCACTCTATTAAGAAAATAGCGACTAAATTAGCACACTCAATAATTGTTGTTGGTTGGTTGAATTAAACAATACTAGAGCACTCGCCTGTTAAGTCAGGATCGGTTGGTTCGATCCCTGCGTTTAGAAATCTGATGAGAAGATGTGGTGATCTCCGAAACAGTTGTCACTTCTACCATTTTTCTTTATTGTATAACAAATATTCAATTCATACAAACAAACCAGGCCTTTGATTGTTGTGTTATAGTCCTCCGACTTAACATTTTTTAACAAGGTTATGACCCAAAATCTTAAATCTGCAAAATCGAAAAATTTTTATTACGTTGCAATTAAAAACAACGGTGAATATGTGCACCACGTTTGGTCGAAATATTATAAAAATTACGTACAAACATGCGAACAGAACAGAGGAGGCTTAAAAAACTCAACTTGTAATTCTGACCTGGTCGTTATAAATTTTGGGGGCATTCTTTTCTCCTTCTGGTACTTACATACTTCGGACGAAAGATATAATAATGATTATGAAACATTAATGGTATAATAAATAGTACTTATCATTGGCTTGCAGGTCGATCATGTTTGATTACGATCTCCTAAAAAGAAGGAAATATATGTAAGTATAAGTTCGTTGCGGTAGCCGAGTGGTTAGCATTGCGAACTGCCATTCGGAAGGTTTGGGTTCAAA